AAGATATTATTACACCCAATTTCTTTGCAATAACTCTAAATAAACGAATTAATTATATTCTATATAGAACATCAGTTACCTGTATAATATTAATTTCTAAAAACATCTGCCTTTTACATTTTAATTATTTTTTCTTAAGTATTATAAGCCCATCTTCAACTACACAATAATCACTTTCGGCACATAATAAACTAGGGTCTTCCACTTATGGCTGCTTAAGTCTGCATTACAACCGGCGTTGAATCGCTGCCCTACTACGTGTTTTAGTAAAGTATACTTCATGTCATAATAAAGTAAAAAATCAGCCATAATATCGCCACACCCATTTTGCACAAATCAAAGACAGTTAAGAATGTAACCGCTGCCGCTGTTCTGTCCTCATCTGCTGCCTCACATCTCCATTCATTGTCGTCTTCAAAGGTTTTTTTTTTTTGAAATTAAATTAATAAATTGTAGCTTCTTGCAAACTAAGAAGAACTGCGTACTTCCAAAGAACACAAACGACACTTGAATATGAAATTTTATTAAAAATTCCACTTAAACTCGCGCTGGATGTCAACTTCATTTTCATCAACGGAATCAATTGCAGCGAATAATGAGTGAACCATCAACCAAACAAGCAATCACTCCGAAATTATTCCAAAAAAATAAAAAAAATTGATGAAAACTACTGCAGCAATAAAGCAACAAATAATGTCAACAACAAAAATAAAATTATACCAAGACTGACAGTTGAAGAGCAAAGAAAATTATTATTACTGGAATGGAAAACTAAACAGAAAATAAAAAACATCAGAAAATTATGAATGTTGAAGTGAAAATATCTGAGAAGGATACTTCACGGGTTTCATTAAACGGCGAATGTGAACTGCAATTTAATTTATGCGATGGGAACGTGTATTTTTTATTGCATTTTGTGACAATGCGCAGGGTGTGTTGAGCTCAATGATTATAAATCATCGTTTAATAGGATACCAATGAGTACAATTCTCGTAATCGACTTAACATAAATATTTTAAAAGCATAGACGTTAGTGTCTCTGCCTCTGTCTCAGTCTCAATGTTTGTGACATTCTATAGAAGTATGCAGAAAGCAAATTTGCATAAATTGATTGTACATTAAATAAGTAAAGGATCCTTCCCTGGTTCTATTTATTTCTGTATTTTAGGACGTGCTACTTTTACAGTTCGCTTAAGATTCTTGCGTTCCAAACTAAATTATATTTATGATTTGAGATCATTGTTAAATGAGTTGTATGAGAATATTGTACATACCAGAATAATGAACATCATTAAGGAATTGGATACGACATAATATCCGACGACCAAATAAATACATTCCACGATAAGCTTTGACATGGAATCCATAAGGCAGCAGACGTCCCGGTGCACCGGCTTTAACTTCGAGACGAACAATTAAAAGAGAAATGACATAAGCGTACTATACATGGAACGATATATGCAGACAAGCACCTAACAGAATGCGGTTTAAGAGAATCGTTGCGACTCTATACCCACGGTTGCCACTTGAAAATTTTTTTCTGTACCAAAATTGGTTTAAAAAGGTACCATTTCTGTAAAAAAAGGTCCAAAATTTTTTTGGACCTTTTTGTTTTCTCGTTCTGTGTTTTTTATATATAAATGAATAAAATATAAAATAGTGCAAAGTTGCATTTATAAAAAAAATTAATTGGAAATATCCACAATAAAATTGGTCCGTCAAAAATGTACCAGTTTTTGAAAATGAGTACCAAACGAAAAAAAAAAAAAAGTACCAATTTTGGTACTAAAGTACCATAAGTGGCAACCGTGTCTATACCCCACTAGGGGAAACGGATACTAAGAAGAAGAAGATAGTAATATAATTAAAATTTCTTCTAATTGTAATATTAAGCCCTCATTAGTATATAAAATTTAATTAATTCATTGAGCACAAAAACGATTGTCTCCGTTTTTCTAAAGTAATATCAGAAAATTGATTGAAATAATAAAAATTGACTGTAAAATATTGACTGAAATAATAAACTTTTTTTTTTAAATTGAATTTTAAGTATGCATATATCAATATCAAAAACATACTTAATTGTTTTACTGACAACAAAAAAAAAAATGACTGTAAGAAGATTCTGCCTGGACCTTTAAAAGTTAAATTTCCGTATTACACACCATCAAAAGATTGATTCGAGTGCAAATTGCTGACAAATTTACTGAATACTCATTAATAATTTTTAAACTATGCACACAATATATTAAATTTTCAACTTCTTATGACAACGCAGTCTGTATTTATAGTTTCATCGTTGTGAACTTCATGAGAATTATAAATATTAATTATTGTTATTACTTGTTCCAGAGTAATATTGCTTTGGCTTTTAACATTTTGAATTAAAAATATTCATATTATTTTGAATTTCATTTATTTGTTCATATAAATTGTATACAATTTTAAATATAAAACAATTTTAAAAATTATATCCCAAATTATGATTAAATACATTTCTACTAGTATGTAACTAATATATATATTTTTTTTTTATTTGCAGGTAAGTTTGCTGCACTTCACTAGTATTGAAATCATCCGTAAGTTCAAGAAGGATTTTTTTTTGTAATATTTTTATTTATGTTAAAGTTATACTTAAGTTAGATAAAAGTTATTTTAGTTAGATATGTTATTTTATTTATAGATTATTTTTTTTTTAGTTGTAGTTTATGTCAGTTATAACGGAAGTAATTATTTTACTCAATAGAAAGTAGTGTAAAGAGGTTGGTTCAAAGTAGAGAGTTTGTAGTTCACTATTTTGCGAAACCCCTTTACAAAATTTATAGACTATGAAGAATTTTTTGTACTGATGAGTTGAAAATTGTTTGAATTTACATAGTATATATACGGTATTTAAGTAGATATATGTAGATATCACAAAAGGCCATTATTTTACTTCAAGTAGGTCTTGGTATACGAGGCTAACCTAACATAACCTATGTATTACGAAATTGTTTATATTGAAAAAAATGAACAACTTTGATCAACTTAACATATAACTTTTTTGCACTATATAAAAGGTTTTGATATTTTTTTCTTTCGGATCACGTTTACGTTTCATAGCGCTCTATTAAAAGCACGGTTGCCACTTATGGTACTTTAGTACCAAAATTGGTACTTTTTTTCCGTTTGGTACTCTGGTACTCATGTTCAAAAAATGGTACATTTTCGGCGACCCAACTTTATTGTGGATATTGTATTGTTTTATACTTTTTGTACATTTTATATAAATTGTATTTTCTTATAAAAAGAGAATAGAAAAATTTTGGACCTTGTTTTTACAGAAATGGTACCTTTTTAAACCAATTTTGGTACAGAAAAAAATTTTCAAGTGGCAACTGTGATTAAAAGTTCTGAAACTTCTTACTCATGTTTCATCGTGCTCTATTAAATTTTCTCAAACTTCTTCTCTTCGGAGTACAGCTGCCTTTTATTTCACTCTTTTAAAAATTCTTAAAGTTTTCATTCACGAAGCATCTGCATTTTCTGTTAATATGTAACAATCTTAGTAAAGTTTAATAAATTCTATACTATATATACATTATTTTTTGCTTTACTGAGAATAATGTAAATAATTTTTCCGTAAACTAGTCGTCTTTCACATTCTCATACAAAAATTTGTTTCCGGAACTTGATGAATAATATATGTTAGAATTATAGTATTTTAGGTTGGTTCTTTATATAGGTATTACATATATTATTGTTTTCATTTGTTAAATCTACATTCAATAGATTTACTAGATATACTTTCAATCTGTCATATTTTGTCTAATCTGTCAAAACCCCAATCGAACGTTTTTAGAGTAATCTAACATTTTTGTAATTGTGTTAGTAGGCATTTATATTTTTCATAAATACATATATTGATTTAAATCACACTTTACCCGTTAAGTAATTGAAAATAGCTGTTAATTTCTACTCTGGCAAAATATCTAGAGTGTTATAAATTAATCTCAAGTGTTATACATTTCACTCGAAAATTATACATAGAAAATGAAAATTTCACTCAAAGTGAATATCTATGGAAAACGGTAATAGGCATTTAGGATAGGCAATTATAATAGATTTGCTGTAAAGATGTATCATCAAATTTATACTAGAAACATGTAAATAATATTTAAATTAAAATTAGCTTACAGAATCTCAAGATCCAAATATGTTTATTAGATCATGGAAGGTGTATTAATAGTTCAATTTTTATAATTTTTAAATACCCACCGTTTAATACCCACAACCACAATATTCTGTCAAGTACATTGTTAGCTTAATTTCTATAATTTTGTTATATCTTCCTCGTGAATATTCCGCGAAATACCCTGTATTTTGTTGTACACCTATTTATATGTAAATTTAATATAATTCTAAATAAACATAAAGCAATGTCATTACAAATGAAATGTCACTAACTGCGTAAAATTAAATTTAAACACAATTCATAAAATACCAAAAATATTTTCCTAAGTTATAAAAAATACAACATCCAAACATCTGAACACATAGAGATATATAGACAGTGACAAATAAATAAAGAAAACACGTGTGCAATAAAAAACCGATTTACTTTGAGGATTCAGGATTTCACTTTAGCCTGCCTTAGATACTGAATTTGGTGCATATTTG